TGACTCCAGAAAGCATACAGGCACGATATTTACTGACGTATCTAAGAGAGGACAGCGAATATACATAAAAAGAAAAATCACAGCAGCTTATTCCCATCTATATGTTTGCTTCTTTTTAATATCTTTACAATCACTGACACAACTCATCAGTTGGTAAAATTGGATAGGAAGTCAAACTATGGGGAAAAAAGCACCAGTGTCTTTAGAACCAACTCCCACTTACGTGTATTTTTAATGTGCGAAGTTCATAATAATTGTAACTACTACCTATACTTAGTTTACTTGTTTTAGATTCAATAAAATTCCATGAATTAAAACAAAATGAATTTTTTTTTTAATTTGAAATAATGCAGATCCAAGACGTTGGCATAATCATTCTTTCACTGGATAAAAGAATTGCTTAGAAACATTTTAACAACTATGAGAGTTACATTTAAGAAGTGGCATGTGTTCTCCAAAGCTTAAACAAATGTCAAATTTCTAACACCTATACTAACAAATTGCATTTGATAAAAGATTTATGTAGTGAAGTTTCTTACAAATATGGCTATATTACGCACAAATTAAAACATACCTGGTTTACTGAGTGTAATTCCACTTGTATACTGAAAGTTGTTCACCTTCAGAAACTGCTGCAGGACCGTGAGGTGGCCAGTAACATTGCTAATGTGGTGGTTGTCGGGAAGTTGAATTAAACTTTTTGAAAACTGAACACTTGGTTGAGATTTGGCATCTGCAGAAAGGAAACGACATTAACAAATGCAAAAAACCAAAATGTATTTGCCCAGCACCACTGAGCAGGGCATTTTATTCTAACAAAAGCGGACGTACTTACTTCTAAAGGACAATGACATCCTGCATAATTTTGACTGTCCCTGCAGAACTGCCCAAGGGCCTCTCCTTTCTTTCTTCTTCTTTTTTTTTTTTTGCGGAACCAGGGATTGAACTCAGGCCGTTGAGCTTGCCTGGCAAGCGCTTATTCTACTGAGCCGTCTCCCTGGCCCCGCCTCTCCTTTCTTTAGATCTCAAAGAGCACCTCTACAGCGAAGACTGCTGGATTCTGCCGCACAGGTTCTCTTCACGCTCTTTTGGGCTTCACCACAGGCACCTGTAACCCACGCAGTGCACCCGGGCTTTCATCTCTATAAACCTAGCTGGCAGCAGGTGCCAGGAGAAGTGGAAACCAACAGAAACACCTCACTCTTCTCTTGGTCCAGCTGCCCCAGCAGGGACCTGCTCCCCAAGCCCAGGTGACAAGACGTGACGTGAGTTCTGTGTGGTTTGTTCCCGCCCCCATGGGACCTTGTGGCAGCAGGTGCGCCTGAGAGAGTCCTCCTGTGACCAAACTGAGATCCTGCTTGAAAATCAAGCCAATATTCAAAGAGTGGGAAATATTCTAAATGCAGAGAAAAACTAAGCTTCCAATATTGCAAAGTTTAAAGTTGATCCTACTACTTAAAAAAAATCTCCTTTGGGCTTCAGCTGTTTAGGGTCACATTCTCAGCAACTTGCAAGAGAAAGTGTCTTTGATTGTGGACAGTCTCACACCAGTGTTGATCGGTTTCTCCATCAAATAGCTAGCTGTGCATTACAAATTTTCCAAATGTCAAGTACTCACTCGATCTATGAATATTATCTCACGTCTGTAACTCTGAATTATTGTTCAGCATTTATCAAATGTGAGCTCAGTGACAATACGCGTCGATCTATAACCACTGGACTTTATGCAACAACTCAAGGATCAACTCGTAAATCATTAAAATTAAAAATGCTCAGAAATAACAGCTTTTGGTTTGAACTTTATTATGATTACTTACAAAGGCAGAAGAAATAATTGAAATTATTAGCGTAAAAGAGCATCAATTTTTTAAAGAATTTTTTTAGAATAATGCAAAACATCATGTTTTTATTTTTAAGACTTAAGCCAGAAATAAGAACTGAAAAAGTGGCTAATTTAAAACACTATATATATTTGTTTGGTTAAGTTATTTGAGGAACAGTTTGATACCCTTAGATCACTTTATGTACTATGTACCCAACTTTCACTTTTAAAGTTTGTGAATTAATTACGCTGACCCTACAAAGTTCTTATAAAGGAAGACATGCACTCGCAAAATATCTAGCTCAGTTTCTCACAGGTTTGTATATTCCTAATGTTTCCCATTTCTCCTACTCTTTTACCACAAATCTATTCACACTGATGCCAAACTCATTCTCACTGTACAAAATGAACATCTTCACCCAACAGGGAATGGAGTTTATAGAGTGAAATGTCCATTTTCTACAAAAAGACCTCATTATCAGAAGCGTCCATCCTTTCCTGCTTTCCCTCAGCAACAGGCCACCTCTTCAGGAAATGAGATGACAGTAACCGGAAGTGCTCTGAAAATTCACAAGAGCTCATGATGTCCTCGGGAGGACCTGCCAGGCAGCTAGGATTGCCCAGAAAAGGTGCTTCTCATTGCTTGGTGTGTGGCAAAAGCTGGGTCCGGGACACGCTCACATTAGCACATGTTATATATCCCAGCAGCAACTGCAATGTATAATGTGTAATATATTAATAATTTATAAAATATAATTTAGATGAAGAGGCGAGTAATGGACCAGGACATGTCAAAATAAGCCCAAATCAATTTTTAAAAACAACACTAACATGGAACTCAGGAGAAGCTGATTTCATACAGGCCCAGCAGCATAATTCTGCTAGCAGGTGTGCAGCTCCTATCCATTTTCCAGCCTTCCACACACAACTCCCCATCTGCCGAAATCAGTGGCTCAGAACTCTGCCAAATCCCCTGACACTCCAAGAGTAATTGGGTCTTCAGCCTCCTACTCCATTTTTTCCAAACAACAGTATTGAATGCTCTTCATTAATAGCTTAAAAATAAATAACATCTAAAAGTAAAAGTTGTGTCACCATGACTGCAAAAGATGGTTATCTGTGATTATCAACTCGACTGGCCTGAGAGACACCCAGGAGAGGACAGCACAGCTCTGGATGTGTCTAGGTGGGTCACCGGGCAGGGACTCTAGGGTCCACATGCGGCTCTGGCCCCTTTCTTGCTCTCTGGCTCTGCCCCTACTCCTGCTTCCTTGCTGCCAGATGTTGAATGGCTTTTCTGTCAGGTCCCACCAGCATGGTGTTTGGGCCTTGCATCTACCAGCCATGGACTAAACCCCTGAAATCAGAAGCCAAAATAAGCCTGGCTCCTTTCAGTTGTGTACATCAGGTATTTTGTTCCAGCAACAGAAGAATGACACACAATGGCTCTCTTACTGGACTCTACCTTGAGAACATTCTACCCTTATGAGTCATTTCACCAGCACAGAGCACAGAAACAGATGAGCCCAAGGATTGTGAGTAATAAAGACATTATATAATATATAAGAGTCACAGAATGCCCAGAGTGCAGGTAGGCAACGTAAGGACCACACATTACCAAAGTGAGGTCTTGCATCTTTCTCTTTGGACGTGCAAGTAGGGAAAATCATGTCTACCTAGAACATATGAAACCATCCCCTCTCCGGCCTCTCCCACCCAGGCAGATCTCCAAGAAGGTCGAAATGGAAGTAACCTGTAACTCCAGAGCCCCCGAAGCCCACATTACATGAACGCTGTAACTTCTCCTACTTCACTGACCACTAATGCACAGTGAGAGATGAGATTTAGGAAGAACGACACACACAAGTACTTACCATTATTTGCTAACCTCAATATTCCCATTTGGGAAGCTAGACTAGGACGGGAGATGATGACCCCCACTACGTGAGACACACATCTAGTTTTCTAGTAAGACAAGTTGGACCGAGAGATTCAGAGCCAGAGCTAATCATCGCTGACCAACTTAGATTTTAAGCGATAAGCACAGCTGATTTACTTAATACCAGTCACCTTGTTTCCTCAGTGGGGAAGAAGTATTTACTTACCAGCTAATTTTCCAGTAATCAAAACAGTGTCTTCAAACAGCCATATATTCGCTTGGCTTTGTGGGAACAGCGAAAGTGTAACTGATGAATATACTGTGAAATATAGCACAATTAAAGAATTTAGTGTAAGGGAAAGAGGAGGACAAGTAAGGCTCTGTTATAAAACGTCCTAATTTTTTTTTTTAAAAAAAGCAAATTTCTTGTTGGAAAGAACAACTGAAAACAAAGTATGAATATGAAATATGATGCATGAAAAACAACACAATAAAGTCAGAAGAAATCACTGGGCATCATCATTTTCGTACACTCATCTCTTCTACGGCAGGGAGTAGTTTTTATCAGGGTGACTAACGATGTCCTATAAATGACCCCCCTATAAGTGATCAAATTACGTGTTTAACTGATCCCCTGAAATTTGCTCTGTATAATTATTCCTTGTTATTTGGTTCTTAGAAACCGAGTCTTTCTTGGCTCCCTAACTCGAGGCTCTCTTCCTACGGGAAGTGAGACGCTCTTCTGCATATAATGTGCTTTGCCAAACCAGCCACAAAGGGGCAGAGGGGGAATCTTAGCAGCACCCAACACAACCACGACACAACCCAACATAACCTTAGCAGGGGCAGCTGAGCAGGTCTGTGCTGGTAGGTGTCCAAAATAACCAAGAGGGATGACCAAGTACAGATCGTCCGAAACAGGGCTGAACTATTTTAACATCCAGGTCAAAAACTGCCACAAGAGTAATTTACATGGGCCACAGAGATAGCTCAGTAGAATAAGCACCTGCCTGGCAAGCACAGGGTCCTGAGTTCAATCCCCAGTACCACACACACACACACACACACACACACACACACACGAAAGAATATTTTACAAACAACAAACCAAACTAACCAATCACAGGAGAGTAACTCTCGAGGAGTTCCCCAAACACGAACTCATGCAGCACCCTCCTCTGTGACATACGCAAACACACGCAGCATGGACAGAAGTAACACAGGCTAGGGAGAGAGCCTCACCGAACGAAAGTGTGATTTCAATTTCAGAACAGATTAACATTTACACCGATTGGTGGATTATTAAGGCGGAGAGAGGGTGGTGAGGTTGAGCTTGGACCCCGCGAGGATTACAAGCAGGGAACAGGCAGCAGCCCGCATCTGGGGGCTTCTCGGCCCTGCACAGATGAAAGGGGACAGCTGCATGAGGCTAGAGAACCTGCCGGCACTGCGAACATCCCTAGAACTCACAGATCAGGCTGCTTTCCACTTAAATACTTTTTTCTGACTAAAAAGTAAAAATATGGGGGAAAAGTCAAAGATGTGGCAAGGAGGAAGAAAATGCTGGTCATTTCAACACTGCTACAGTCAGTCATTTTTTAATGTAACTTTTTGTTGGCTTTTTTCTTTTTGAGGTACCAGGGATTGAACTCATGACCCTGCACTTGCCAGGCAGGTGCTTATTCTAGTGATCTATCTCCCCAGCGCTTTGTTGGCTTTTTCTATGACTTCTTTAATAAGAATGATACTGTATCCAGAATGATTTTACTCTGCCCTTTTCATCCAACAATGTCAGTCTTTTTGTCTCCCTCTAGACATTTTCTGGAACAGCTAAATTGAAGGGCACACAGTTGTGCTGTCGATGTCTCCAGATCCACTCACTACACTAGTCCTGCACGCTTGGTTTAGTCCCATTTTACTATTTTTATAAAAATATTGGAACCAACATCGTGGTGCACAAGTATCCGTCCACTGTATTTCTCTTTATGTTTTTAAGAGACTACAGTGGTGTACTACTGAATTCAAGTTTATGAAGATTTTAGGTTTTGAACACATACTTCAAAAGAGCTGCCCAAATAATTTTGCACTCCCAGAGCCAACGTGAAGTAACCTTATTGGTGAATGAGAATGTCGATCCATCGTGCTTTGCCAACACTGCGAATACTCACTTGGTAGGAATTTGCATAGGTGAAAAATCTAAGTATTGCTTCTTCAGTGGACAGAGCTTTATTAGGAAGCTAGGGACCACCGCCGCGCCCCTGCTCCCCTCGTCTGCTGCGCCTCCGCGCTAACGTTCAACAGTCAACATGCCCTCCCAAATGGAACACGCCGTGGAAACCATGATGGTTACATTTCACAAATTTGCTGGGGACAAGTGCTACTTCACAAAGGAGGACCTGAGAGGACTCATGGAAAAGGAGTTCCCTGGAATTTTGGAAAATCAAAAAGACCCTCTGGCTTTGGACAAAATCATGAAGGCCCTGGACCAGTGCCGAGATGGCAAAGTGGGCTTCCAGAGCTTCTTTTCACTAATTGCAGGCCTCACCATTGCGTGCAATGATTACTTTGTAGTACACATGAAGCAGAAGGGAAAGAAGTAGGCGGCGTGAACATTTATTCCTGCCCTGATGAGAGTTCTCCCAAAGGGCCACTTAAGGAATCTGCCCCTCAGTTGCCCCTTGTAGAAAGATGTCATGAGCAGATCAGGACCCTTAGAAAATGTACAAATAACATCTAGCTCTCACTGGACAGAGGGTGGAAGGTTCATTAAATGCTACACAAGCTTTTGATTTCTGTATTTGCATCCTCTTGCCCTCAATAGTCTTTTTTTAGTTCCAAAAAAAAACGAAGATAGAGAATGTTTTCTTTTTTTTTTTTTTTGGGCAAGTTTTCAAGCTTATTCATTGTTTATATTTCCTTTCTTTGAAAACTGCCTACTCATTTACTGTACTCAAGTGAGATTTTGCACTTACTAATGAATAGGAATTCTTTGCAAGTCAAAGATATCTACTCTCATTGTTTTGATATTATTTCCAACCTCAGTTGTTTTGTAGCTATATCTGCCTAATATTTTAGTTGTGTTAAACGACAAACTTCCTCTAACAATTCTTTTTTTAAAAAAAAATTACTAAGTATCTTTACACACATTTAATCTTTTTTTTATGTATTTGATATGGGGTCTCACTATGTAGCTCACAGCTCAAACTCACAGTGGTCCTCCTATTTTCAGCCTCCTCAGCACTGGGATTATAGGCTTGCACCACCATGTCTGGTTTGCACATTTATTCTTGAAGGATTAAAATTTTGCCTTTTTTTTTTTTCTTTTTAAATGAAATGAATTAAGTCATTAAAGCAATCTGGCAAAATTAAAATTTTTATACTAACCTGGCTTCCTGAGAAGAAATATGTTTGTCCAATTATTCAGGATTTTAAGGGTTTTTTTCTACAAATATTAGTCATACTTGGTGATTTTAATTTCTCCACATACATAATTATTTTATATTCCATTTAGAATATCTGTCCGCTCTTGTTCTGAGAGGGATTTCTTGTCCTTATTTTTCCTAACGAGCATTACTACCAGTACAGAGGGAAGTGTGCCGATTTGTATGAATACTACTTTTGAAATCAATCACTGCTGGAACACAGCACCGGCTCAGGGAGTGGGAGGCCCTCCCAGAACTTGAAAGAAGGATTCATGGGCTATGGCTGCCCAGCATAAAATGATTTCAGGAGGTATTTGTTTGACCCACTTCCCTCTCTTTTTTCTATTAATACCTGTCTGGTTTCAAGAACTGCTACAAGGGGCCGGGGAGATGGCTCAGTGGAATAAGCGCTTCCCGGGCAAGCGCAAGGGCCTGAGTTCAATCCCCAGTTCAAAAAAATTATTCAATTGTAGAACACTTTTGTGTATTCTCTAAAGTTATTAAATATTCCTTTTCTTTTTCTTGCCTTCTCTTATTTCCCTAATGTTTATTATTTAGTTTAGCCAGAAGTACACGTAAGGCTATTTTTTTGTATTTTGTCAGCCATCTCATCTTTCTGTTTTCTGGTATATGCCAATACACTTTAATCTTTTATCATTTTATCTGAATTCTTTGCAATTATTTTTCTATCTTTATTAAAGGCCAGTGTTCAGTTTGTCCCTTCACAGAAAGAAAGACCAATAGTCCAGCGTGTCACCCTTCCACGCTGTCTAACTTCAGTGTCTTCCACGGCACCACCGTCTGTTACGGGGTCAGCCACACCAGCCCTCCCCGTGCCTTCTTCTCAGTGTCTCTGGGCTCCCCCTGTCCTTCTCATGGCCCCTCTAGGTGACAGTGGACAGGAGTGTGTCAGCGTCCCAGGACACCAGAGGCACTGTCACAGCTCCCACCAGGCTCTCGCAGTCTGAGTCAGCCTCTCCACATCCCACGCTGCCAAGTGCATCCGGCCTCCACGCGACGTGCCTCGCTGTCCAGGAGCTGCCTTACTGGCGTCTCACTGGAGGTCCTTCATCGCCTCGCCCCACGTCACCCGGCCACCCCTTCTTCCCAAGCCTTTGGGACAGCAGCCCCTCCGATGCCAAAGGCAGACAAGCTCTGCATGGAGCACGGTTCATGCTCACAGTTCCTTCAAGCATCTTTCTAAAAACTATTTTCAAATTCTTTTTAACTTTGTATTACTTATTAGGTACAGAGTCTCACTATGCAGCTCAGATTTGTGATCGTCCTGTCTCAGCCTCCCCAGAGCTGGGATTACAAGCATGCACCACCACGCCTGGTTTTGGTGGCTGGCACAGCGCTCCTGGGGTTTCGGGGCTGGAGCAGCATGCAGTACCAGGGATCCAACCTGGATGCTTGCGCTTGCCAGGCAGGCACTTGGACTAATGAGGTATCTCCCAGCTCCTTCAAGCATCTTTAGAAGAAGAAGAAAAAAAAAAAAATGCCTCTGTATTTGCTATGGTCTGATGTTTGTGACCCCCTAAAATTTATGTTGAAATCTTAAACCCCAAGTTGATAATATTAAGAGGTGGGCTTTTGGATGATAATTAGGCTCAGAGGGTATTTCATGAATGGAATTAATTTCCTTTAAAAAACAACATCACTGGTTATTCAAGAAATGCAAATTAAAACAGTACTGAGATTCATTGACACTCCAGAAAGAATGAGTTTTATCAAGGAAAAAACCAGTAACAAATGCTGGGAGAACTGTGGGGCAAAAGAAGCCGCAGCTACTGCTGGAGGGGCTGGTGCAGCCCTGTGGGAGTCAGTGTGGAGACTCCTCAGAAGGCAAGGGCTGGACATCCCACTCTACCCAGCTAGTTCCCATCTGGAGATTTTCCCAGAATTAAAAGCACCACACTACAGTGATTTATGCACAACCATGTCTACAGTGACACAGTCTGTAACAGCTAAATCTGGAAACAACCCAAATGCCCATCAACCAATGACTGAATAGAAAAAGCAGGGATTTTTTTGTTGTTGTTGTTTTGTTTTGTTTTTTTATGTATTTCATACAGGATCTCACTATGCAGTTCAGACTCATAACAATCCTCCTGTTCTCAGCCTCCCCAGCACTGGGATTACAGGCATGCGCCACCACTCTGGGTCTTGGTGGTCAGTTCAGTGTGCCCAGGTGTGGGGCTGGCACAGCATGCAGTGCCAGGGATCGAACCCCAGTCCATACACTTAAGTCTGCTGAGCTATCTTGCCGGCCCTGGGTTTTTTCTTAATATAAGGGACTATTACTCAGCCATAAAGAAAAATAAAATTGAGGCATTTATAACTAAATGGGTGGATTTTGAGACCATAATAAAAAGTAAAATAAATCAGGCACCATGTGTAAATATTCTCTCTCTGGTATGAGAAACTGAAAATGTAAATAAGGCCATTGAAATAGGAAGAAACTGCTCGAAAGGAAAGGAAAACGGGGCGTGAGGAAAGGATGAGAAAGAAAAAAATGAGGACAAAAGGATAAAATGAAAACCAACTTTTATGAACAGGGAGGGGAAGGGAGTTTGAAAAGGGGATGAGAACGGGGGCAACAGGAGGAACCAAGACCCATCACGCACAGACACAAATTCCCTACGGTGAATGGAGTCACTGTGTACACCGAGCTCGTACCAACTTTATAAAAGCAGAGAGGAAGAAGGGTCTCCTATGAACCAGAAAGTGGGCTCTCAAAGCCCTCTGAGTCTGACAGCGCTCTGCCTCTGCACCCCCAACACCCAGAACTGTGAGAAATACATTTCTGCAGTGCCTGAGTCACCCAGCTTTTGGCATTTTATTATAATAGCCTGAACAGTCCGAGACAGTGTTTTCCCCAAAACAACCCTCCGGCCAGCCTCGGATGGACCTCGCTCGGGCACTGCACCTCTAGCTCCCAAGAGGGTGGCATCATTTACATTTAGCAAATACAGAACACCACTGGGGCGCTTACTGGGCATCCTCCCAGTCCTCCAGGGCAGTGGGTTCAACACGTAGCCATCTTTGTAAGCAACAATGGTCAAGCCGAGTCCTAGCGTGTAGGGCACCCGGATCAGCACCGCGCCATTGCTCTTGGTCACCGTGGAGTTGGTCTTCGTGTAGTTCACAAACACTTCCACGACGGCCTGACTCAGGTACTGGCGGCTGATGATGTCATTCACCTGGACTTTCAGCATAAACACGGACACTGCAAGAGAAAAGGGCCGGAGAGTGCAGCATGTTAGGTCCTAGAATTTCGACCCTATCGTTTAAGATAGCATTCAAAGGTCTGAATAACAAGGAAACACTGTCACCGCATTTGGAAAATATGTGTTGGTGGATGGCTGAAGAAGAAAGCTGAAAGCATTCCAATTTAAATATACATTATAGTAAAGCACACTATTCCTGCTCCATGGTGTTCTGTTAAAAGGACAGTGAAAAATATAAAGGGTTCCTTTCTTCAGAAGATTCTGCACTGTCTCACTAGTTCTTGTGCTACGCTGTGCTATACTTTGTTGTTATACTTTGGGTCAAAAAAGTCACCCAAAGGCCTCTGTCCAGAGGCAGAGCTTCTGGAAGGTGACCAGATCATGTGGTGTTGGCCTCGCTGGGCTCAGGCTGTGCATGAGGTCACAGCCCAGTGTGTGGTGGAGGGCGGGGAATGCGGGTTACTGGAGCTAGCCCTGGCAGGATGCGTGCCTGTCACCAGGTTGCCTCCCCCTCCCTTTCCCTCCTCTTTCCTCCTTCTCCCTCTCCTCTCCCCTCCCCTCCCCTCTTCTCCCATCCCATCTCCCCCTCCTCTTTCCTTCCTCCCTTCCCTTTCCCTCCCATCCTCTTCCCTCTCCTCCAGTCCCCTCCCCTCCCTTCCTTTCCCCTCCCATTCCTTACATTCCCCTCCCCTCCCTCTCCTCTCCTCTCTCCCCTCCTCCTCCCCTATCTGCCCCTCCCTCTCCCCTTCCCTTCCCCTCCCCTCCCTCCCTGCTGTTCCCCTCCCCTCCCCTCCCAACTCTAGGCTCTCTCTGCCTCAGGCACCAGCAGGTGGGCAGCTCTCCTGCCACGCCCCTCTGCCACAGTATTTCCACCTCAAAACCAGTCAACTATGGACTTAAACTTCTACAACCATGAGCCGCAGCAAATCTTTTCTCCTCTAAATTGTATATGTCAGGTGCTTGGTCCCAGTGAAGAAAGCTATTGAATTCAAAAGTTACACAAATTTAATACGAATTCCAAAGCACTACAAAGTCTCAGATTAAAACGCCATCTAAAAGAACCACTCGTGCCTGGCCCGCTGCTTAAGTTGGTGGTCTGGAAGCACAGGGTGACTTTCAGTTCCAGACACACAAAATATCAGCAGAGATCTTTCTCTAAAATATCAAAAAATCATTACACACTGTATAAAAGCATACTAATCATCAAATGAAAAAATGAGAATCAAATCTGGTTTTTGCTTAAACTTCTAGCCTTACTCAAGGACAGAGCTCCCCCCAACCGTGTACCAGGGATTGAACTCAGGACCTTGCGCTTGCCAGGCAAGCACTTATTCTACTGAGCTATCTCCCCAGCTGTCCAATGACTGATCTTGACAACGAGCTCACTAGATTTTCCAATGACAACACCTCGCTACAGAACCTTTCTGTCAGGAACAAGCCTCTGCCGAGGGGTTTTCTCCTCCCCTGTAGGTGGGCTCTACGATCAGTGGAGGTCCTTCTCTGTCACTCTCTAGATTTCTGCCTCTGGGTTAAATCACTGCTCTCCGAGGCCACAAACGCCAGAAAAACTGGGAGGCTGAAAGCGCCGTAAGATAACAAAGCCAAATAAGACTAACAGCATGCTAATGAGTGCTAAAGTTTTCTGACCCACGGTGGGAAGGCACTTTACACACATCACAGAATACTGACAGGAAACAAGGCCACAGGACTGCATGCTGCGCTACCTTTGCATAATCAGAATAACTTTTACTTTACATATACTTTTGTTTTAATTTAATTTAATTTATTTATTTATTATATTTTTGTATTTTTTAATTTTAGTACAGGGTCTACAGGATCTCACTACGTGAATTGGACTAGTAGTGATCCGCTTGTGTTCAGCCTCCCAAGAGCTGGGATTACAGGGCATGTGCCACCAAGCCCGGTCTCAATCTCGCACCCTCGGGGGGAAGGCTTTATAATCCACTGAGCTATTGGGCCAGCACTGTAATGTTTTTTTAACTTTAAAGAAAATAAAAATTTTAAAAAACATTAAAAAGATACAAAATTTCAAAGCAAGATGATAAGAAATCAAGTATGGTTGATATATCGGATATTGTTATCTTCAAAGTAGTCGTTCAGATTATGCAAAGGAGAAAAGAAAGAAGGGAAAATGCGCACGCACACACACACACGCACACACGGTAGCTAAGATAATTGAACTACTAATTTCTATTGGTTTGTTGAAAGAAACACTTAATGGGGTTATTTTTTAGACCAATCCTACATATTAAAAATATCTTTTATTTAGTTATGTATTTGGCTCATGGTCTCACTACAGAGCTCGGACTCAGTGATCCTCCTGTCTCAGCTTCCAACAGGGCTGGGACTACAGTTGTGCTGCACCATGCCCAGTTTCGGTGGCTGGCGCAGTATGTGGTACCAGGGATCAAACCTGGGTCCTTGCACTTGCCAGGCAGGTGCTTAGACTACTGAGCCATCTCCCCAGCCCTCTACATTATTTTTTTTTAAATTAAGAATAGGATGTTAGGGGCTGGGGATTTGGCTCAGCAGTAGAATGCTTGCCTAGCAAGCTGGAAGCCCTGAGTTTGGTCCTTAGCACCAAAAACAAAAACAAAAAAAAAGAATAGGATGTCAAAAAATCCAAGTCAATGTTCACTAAGCCACAAGTGCTAACAAAGTGTCATTATGCCTTACCCACCCTAACTTTATGAAACCTTAAAATTGCCATTAGATCAGACACATTTAAAAAAAAAAATTGTTCCAGTTAGTGACTCAGTCCTAGGACAGGTACAGTCCAGCAAGTTACAAATAACACAAGCGCCTAAAAATGAGCTTACGCCTATACAAACACTATACTCAAACACAAACACACTTTAATGTGTGTCCTCTTACCCAACAGCTTTAACCATACTAAGACCTATAGCGCGGTGAAGGTGAATGAGCTGCCTCTGTGTTAACTGTCAGGTGCATCAATCCCCCGGCTCATGAACCAACTCTCTTACAGAAATGGCGCGTTTCCTTTGTTACTCACACTGCTAGCAGAGTAAGCGAGGTTGGAAAATCAGCCACAATGAACCCACTACAGGTGAAGAGAACACCACAGCGCCTCAGAGCACCCCTCCTCCAAGCCTGTGCCCTTCCCTACTACATCGTGTCTAGCTGATTAGACTTTTTTTTTCTAGGTCTTAATGTTTTTATTTTTATTTATTTTTATTTTTATTAATTTTATTGAGAAACAAGTAGCAAGGAGTCAGTTTCAAAACAGGTCAGTAGGACAGTTACAATAATTAATACATTCCATACTGTTGTCTTTGTAGTGGTTATTCATAGTACACGATGTAGACATGATTAGATTCTTAAAAGCAGTCCTCATCCCTGGCTTGGAGGGCTCAGCTGGGAAGAACTGAAGGAAGAAGACAGAATCGTACCCTGGAAAAGCAGAGCTGACTGCAGCTAATTTTGAGTCCGTTTTTAATATAGAACTCATTTCAATTGTTTGACCCAAACACTCACAGCCATAGATATCCCAATATACTGTTGAGCGGTTTCCTCATACTTTTGTAGACGGATAAACTGTCTACAAAAAAACACTGCTAATTCCCCGGACAGCACTTCCTCACACAGTTATGGGCCGCACAGCATTCTGGTCCTGACAGCCTGCACGAAGGCCACTGGTCCTCCCACTGAGTGGCATCAAACCCACTGTAATGTGGAAATGCATGACTCACAGGCGTGTCCGGCTGCTGTACCAAAAGCTTCCTGCGCTGCCAGTAATACAAAGGCGTAGTGCACACCATTATGGGCAGCCCATGATGCGCGAGGGCATACACAATGTTTCTGGTTGGTGTACGTTACGGTTTGTGTCTAAATGTCACCCCAAAGCCCCATGAAGTCATGGAGCGGCTTCTAGAGGTTGGGAGTAATTCGTGATCCAAGGCTGGGACCATGGGTGTGAGCACTACACCCACCCCGGGACAGACAGCCTGAATGCAACAGAAGCTTCTAGAGGCTGTGACAATTCAGGATCCAATGTTGGGATTAGGAGCGTGAGCGCTACACCCACCCTGGGGTGGAGAGCCTGAAAGCAGGAGAGGGGAAGGAGAGAGGCTCGCTCTCTGCCGCTGCTCCACCCGTACTGCTCTTGCTGTTCTGCCGTTTTCCGCTGCCGTGACATGCTGCCCTCTGCCACGTGCCGCTCTGCCTTGGAGCCAGTACGGACGGAAAACTCCACAAACTATGAGCTGAATAAGCCTTTCTTTCCTTAAAAAGAAAAGTTGTAAGTATTTTGTCAGGTATTTTGTCCCAGGAATGAGAGAAAAGTAACCGAGACAGCGTATTTGTTATGTCACGCCTTTTTATCACTACTTCAGGCTGTACTTCTGCTTGTGCCAAACTAGTGACAGTGAAACACACCAGGTCACCCGGTGGTAGCACCGAGACTGCGCACCAAGACCATCGAGCGATGGAGCTCGACCAGCTAGGTTTGTCTGAATCCACTCAGGGGGTTCACACTGTTACTAAATCACCTAACGATGTGTTTTTCAGAACATACACCCGCTAAGAACATGTACCCTACGAGACATAAGACCAGATTCAAATCCAGTCAGAGGAAGAGATTCCAAGACAAAATGCAGGTAACAGACGTGCATCCAGGCCTCTGCCTCTTCAGCCTTCCTAACAGCCTGTGAGAGGCCAAATTATTGGTGCGCAGTCGTCACTGTCACTACTTTTTCTAGAAAAAGTTTAGGAACACCAGGTACCAAGGGACCAGTTAGGCTTCACACTCCAACTCTAACTGTTCCTCAGCTATTTCAGGGTTTTTTTTTTCCATCACATAATAAATTCAGTCCACTTATATGATCTCCCTCTACAGTAAATAAAGTCATGTTTCACTCATGTAAAATCCAAATATTTTACTGAGCTGGGAATGAATATATGTCCCTGGAGCCAAGCTCTGTAAGTATATTGTTAAAAATTCTCAGTATGCTTTGCAAAG